CGGCAAGTCAGGTGGGGAACGTTGGAGTCTGCAGTCACTGGAGCAAGCAAGCCTCATGTTCGCTTCCAGCTGCCTGGCTGCCGGCCGCCATCTTGGCTGACAGTTAATTTGCATAAGGATATGCTGATTAGCCAATGGGAAGGGCAGCGGTCGTACGCTAATTACCATGTTTCTCTTTTATTAGTGTAGATTACATTCTTATGAATGAGCCATTGTGAGCCAGTTTTCATGACTTTTCTAGCCCTACACATTTGATCACAGAATCCTTTCATTGTGCAATGGACACAGTTGATCCCTACCCACATCCTTTTTTTCCTTCTCCCTTCCTCCTAGGAGAAAGTCTCGGGGTAAGATGATCCCTCTTACTCTTCTTGATGTTGTTGTGCCTGGAATGGTGGCTGCCATCTTGTTGCAGGAGAATAATAACATGAGCTCCAATGTCTTCATCACCCAGCTTCAACAATTGCTACCCATACCCACACCTGCCCCCACCTTGGGTTATTTTGAAGCAAATTCTAATCATCCTATTATTTCCTACATAGATTTCAGTATGTATCTTTAAAGATTAGGACTTTAAAAAAACCTAATCCAATTCTATTATCACACCCACCCAACCCCCCCTAAATAATTCCTTTTCATTGCATATCTACAACTATTGAGTTCTTATTTGCCTCACAATGTATTTAAGAACATAAATTCTCCTCATATCTCATTAAGACTAGTGCCTGCTGGGAGAAATAATTACTCTTTAGCATTCAATAATCATCTGTGCCTGGATCATAAGTGTTAGTACTATTTGAAAGGTTAACTGAGCCCAAATCCCTCCTGTAAAATGCATAGTCAGATGGGCTTGTATTAGAGTATTTTCAGTTACTAACGCCATTACTGTGGGCAGTAACAAAACTCTCTACATTTCAGTTTTCACAACTATTTAAAAATATTAGATTAGAGAGGATCCAGGAACCTGGATTTTGGAAATGTGAGGCAGAGGGAATAGGGACTTCTCCTGAATCCCAGAAATTGCATCTTGCTTCCCAGAAAACATATCCCTTTCCACTGCCCACCCTATCACCCTTCCCCATTCATTCAGAGCCTAAACATAGGAGTCAAAAAGTCTTCAGCACTGTCATATGTTTCCAATCAGCTCATGATTGCAGGTAGGAGCCCAATATTGGTGATAAATATACTTTATGAGAGTTTTTTGTGATTATTTTTAAAAAGACTGTACCAATAAATAATTTACTGGGGCAGATGGAGGAAGCAACTCTGATTACATCTTGAAGCACCAAAATTTGAAGTTTAAGGAACTTAGGCAGCTCACAGCTATTTAAAAACATTTTGGAAGGGATAAT